GTAATGCTGACAACACAAATATTTCAACTACTTTTTGAAAAAAAATTGTGAAATGCTGAACAGGCATACGGATCAAAACACAAGACAGCGTCTAAACATGAACAATGAATTTACAATTGGTGACTAAAGTACAGAATTAGAGGAACAGAATTGCACTACATTCTTAGACAGTAGAACCACATTCCCTAAACCTTATTACGCAACCAGCAATATCAATAAAATCCATTCCAAGTCACATTCACTATACATGAAGGAATTGAAATGGAAAATCTACAAAAATACCATTCATAATTACAAAAGGAACAAGTTAATGGTATAACAAACAATATTCTGCAATTTTACTGTAAATAATTTTAAATAAATCTTTTTTATACATGCATACTAGTAAACTGTTCAGTTTGCTCAGAAGATTTGAGTTTTATAGGCAACCTTTAAGCAAAACTTTGTGACATTTGGTCTGTCGAAATAACTCATGGTTTTCATACTAAAAAGCCCAAAGTATGATTCTCACTGGAATCATGTATTAGCAAGTACTTCTATCTTTACATATAGTGGATCACTATTTTAGAAAAGTCATATTTTTTTCCAAGATAACATCATTGTGTTTGAATATTTTAGTGTATTGTAAAAATACATGGTTTAGCAGAGACGGATTCATACAATTCAAGGTGCTGCAAGGCGACTCTTAGTCTGCACAAATTTACATGACCACCATGAACTGGAAATGGTAATGAAATAAAAATAAATCAAAATATATCAACAAATGTTTGTGATCATTGCGAACACCTACCAGAGGTGTGTGCATATAGATGATAAATGAGTACAAGGGTGAGTCTGGCCAATGCTTCAGTTTGAATGGTCCACTAAAATGCACCATCCATATTTCTGCATGAAGAAGAAAAGTCATTTGACTGGGATCTTAGTGTGATCTTTCACTTTCAAAATAAGAGAAAAATCAGAATAGTGTTGTCACCAGTGGTCACTGGACTCAAAAGATTAACTCTGCTTTCTCTCCACATATACTGCTAGACTTGCTGAGTTTCGCCAGCAATTTCTGTTTTTGTCTCAATTCCCCAACATGCTCAAATGGTTACAGAGAGTGAAGATATTTAAAAATTCTAGATGTTATTATTTTATTAAAATTTTATTCCATTAAACTTTAATTTTTCAGCAAGGCGTACAAATATACAAATCTTTAGCTTGCCCAAAATCATGGAACAAGCAATGATGATATCAATTTTGTCACTTTAACAGCAGCCTAACCACTGATCTATTAGCATTAATCCAACTCATTGTATTCTTCCTTTCCAAATTTATGCACACATAACGTTCACAACTTTTCCTCAGGGAAGCAAAAAGCTTGTGCATTATATTGTACAACGCGCATTCCAAATTCATACCTTTCAAGCATACTATAGTAGATTAGCATACCTTAATATTAAAAAATATCAGCAGCATTGATCACTTCAAGCCAACAGTCAATTTTCCAGTTTCTCAGAAAACTGCCTTTTTGTCTAAAACACCATTTATAGCACATTGCAAGTAAACGGTGAGTCAGATTTACTATGAAAAATTTAGAAGGTATACTGTGAAATTTATGAAAATGAATATTCCTCCTTTAGAAACGCACAACTCCTCATGTCCAAGCTCAACTTTCAAAATAGTGGCACAGCAATTATTATGATAGGCTTAAATAATCATTCCCACTCCCTCTATATTTTTAATTTCAATAACAAACATTTCTTACCATATGATTGAGCTAAAGCCATGAATTGCTGCTTTACCTGGGGAGAAAATATACTGAATTTTGCCACCCAGTTTCAAAAGTATAAAAATCTTAGATAAAAAAGGTATGTTACAACATCACTGCATCCAAGACTAGATCTTCAACACTCTCCACTCAACACATGACTCTAAATAGATATTTATGCATCTCTGATTTGGTTTCATCCTCTTGTGATTGTTTGCTTTGCTTCAAGCAGATTCTTCATGGTTTCCACATTAAACATTTTGTCTTTAAGTTCTTCTTCCATAAAACTCGGTATTAACATCTCTTTTGTGTATGCAGTTAGTTGTTTGGTTTCAGGGATTCATATCCCTCTTGGAGTAGATCCCTCCATACTTTCAAGAACTGAGCATTTTCTGAGCATTTTGCAGTTAAGTCATCCACTTGAGCTGAAAGAGCTGATGTGACTTCCCAGACTTTTGTTAAATATATGGCAGTCTGAAATGAAAAAAAAATCAGCAAAAATGAAAACCAAGAAGCAGAATAAAAGGGCATCAACCAAATCAAATGCTTCTTGTGATGCAGGATAAACTCAGACCACAACTTATTCTCCATGACCCAATTTTTTTTAAAATCAACTTTCACAAAATATTATTGTTTTATTCATTTAATAAAATGACCTTATAATGTTCATACAGGTATAGTGTCACAAATCTGACAGTCCAAAAATCAAATTTATTTGAAAACCAGACATTTTCAACAAAATAGGCAGATTACCTTAAAGGTTTTCATCTATGAATTGTGCATGCCAGTAACTGTCACAACAGCAAATTGAAAGAGAGTAATCAGTCCAAGACAAAACTATTGTGAAGGGAAACACTATGTTTTAATATCATAAACATTGTTTCTGCAAGAGGTTAACTGTGGACTAAATTTATAACTCAGGTGATGTTGTTCTAGAAAACAGTTCTCCCAATCAACTCCAAATACTAGGCACAGAGAGTAATTCGGAAATACTCCCTTGCGTTTGATGTAAAGGACCTCCTATGAAAACAGGTCAGTGCAGAGAAAGCAAATGTAAGTACTCCAACACATATGGCATTGGTAGAACTATGTGACCTAAATAGGAAGATCCAAAACGTGGTACAATCTTGGTCCCATGGGGGTGAAATTTTGGACATTGCACCTGTATAGAAAGCGATATAAACTTTGAAAACAAATCGCAACGTTTTGTTGGCCTAAGGTGCAAGATCAATTGAAGACAGTAAAATCTAATGTATCATTTTGAAATAACCACTGTCACATCTGGTGCCATCTCCAATTACCCTCAAGAAGGTGGTTCTGAGCCACCTGCTTGAACCACTGTAATCCATGTGGTGTAAATGCATTCCCAGTGCTGCTGAGAAGAGTTACTGATCAGTGACAGTCAAGAAACAATATAATTCTAATGTAGAAAGGTGTGTAGCTTGGAGGGGAACTTGCAAGTGGTAGTGAGGTTTGACTACGACTCCACACATGATGTTGAAACACAGCCTGCAGGAGTGCGAGGACGAAAGCAAATCAGAGGAGGAGGAAAAAAAGTAATGCAAACATGAATGCTAGCAAACTACATCTGTGGCTTTAGTTACTTTATGTAACAGCTTTACTCTGAAAGGTCATAATTCTGTTGCATTCTCCACAGATGTTGCCAGACTTGATGAGTTTTTCCAGAATCTTCAGTTTTCATTTCAGATTTTCTGCACCGTTTTACTTGTATTTCAGTAAGTTTTGGATTTCCTTTGTGAAGTGTGCTGCGAAGAGGGGCCGTGGGTGCAGGAACAGTTTGCTGTGGGATGGAGGGAGGGAGAATGGGCGATGGAAGGATCCTACACGAGTGGTGGGAAGACAGGGTCCCGCAACCGGGGTGCGAAACGCGAAGAGGAGATGCCGGACGTTGGTGGGGAAGACGGGGTCACGTACTAGGGGAAGAAGCCCCAAGGAGGTTATTTTTTAGAAAAGTCCGGCACGTTGGGCGGGAGGCAGCAGCCACCGGTTTTCTGTTACCTCTCCCTCACTGACCTGGTCGATCTGCAGCTCGAGCTCCTGCAGCTGGCGCTCGCTCTTGACTCTTTCCATCTTCACCTTGAAGTGAGCCTGAAGCGCGAGCTCAACCGTCAAACTGCGCGCCCAAACCAACTGTCAAACCGCGCAGTCTCTGCCCAAACATGTGCCTGTACTTAATATAACGGGCCTTTCATTCGTTTAGTAATCTATATCGCTATTGTCACAAATTATTTATGTTCAGTAAAAAAAATGTAAAGTCTACATCAAATTAATTACAACCATTCGCAAATTCCTCCGGTGCTTGGTTCAAATGTTATCGTTTACGAACAGCTTTTTATGTTTATAGCAAATTTAATTCTTACTGTATTTGTAAACCATTTGTTATTAACCATCGGGGAGGTGAACAAACATAAACGAGGATGAGGTCGGACTGGCCGTACAAGACACCACTCCAAATGCGGCATTCTGGGATTTGTAGTTCTTGAAACTTCTTCAAACTCTCTTCGTTCCGTCTCCCGATCTCCTCTCTCTACATCTGTTTCGTAGAATCCCTACAGCGTGGAAGCAGGCCATTCTGGCCATCGATTCCACACTGACCCTCCGAAGTGCATCCCACCCCCGACCCTATCCCTGCATTTCCCACCCTAGACACTACAGGCAATTTAGCATGGCCAACCCACCTAACTTGCACATCTTCGAACTGTGGAAGGAAACCGGAGCACCCGGAGGAAACCCACGTAGACTCGAGGAGAATGTTCAAACTCCACACACACAATCGCCCAAGGCTGGAATTGAACCCAGGGTGTAGGATTAGATTTGCATTTGGTTACGGACATTGAGTTCTTCTAAATGCGATTAGGAGAGTCTTGGAAACATCATTGCTTTAGAGGTAGTTAAGATAACCTGAATAAACATATTGAACAGCCAGCGATACAGGTGGCATTGGCCGATATTACTGAGTTAAGAATGGGTGAGACACTCAGATATTGGTCATTATAAAAGTGAAAATAAAATGCTATTAGAAAGTCGCAATCTCCAAATGAATCTGCATAAATTTGAAAGGAATGGTGAAGATTGTGTTTCTCTTCCTCTACTTTCCCCTTTGCTAAAGAGCAACCATAATAATGTTGATGTCATCACAAGCGAATTGTCAACGGGGATGACGCTATACACATGTAGCCTGATACCAGTGAGCATGCGCAGTGCTCTTAGCACAGGCAGGACAAGTTTCCCTACAGGGCTCAACAACGAACGGTCTGACGAAAAATTGGCTCTGTTTTTTCACTACACAGGCTGCCGGACCTGCTGTGGTTTTCCTGCACTCTTCTTTCAGATTTCCGGTTCTTTAATGCTTATTTCCCACAGGGCCGTATGCGTTCCAGCGCAGGCGCAAGAGGCGGGTATTGTGACTCTTCAATCAGTTAACGCAGATGGGGCGGAGCGAGGCTTCACTAAGGGCTTTGGTTTGACACGGGAACGGTGACCTGAGCTTGAAGGGTTTTACATTGCAGTTTCAAAGACCCCGTGTCATATTGTTTTGAGTGGGTGACGGGTTGTTGTGGAATGTGGTCGACGGCTAACCGGTTTACAGCACGAGGTAAGAGACCCTGCCTGGCAAACTAAAGATCGGCCTCTGACTGCTAAGGCCGATTGACATTTAAATCGTAGCAGTTAGGCACATTGTTTTAAAAAGTAATTTAAACACGTTGAGTTAAAAGTCAAAACGACACAGAAGGTTGCCAACCACTGATCGAAACCAGACTGGCTTTCTTTACAACAGTCCAATCAGTTCAATTGCCCCCACCGTGGACCTGGATGTTTCTTCCTTCAAGTGTGCATTCATTCACCTTTGAGATAATTGATCATCTCTGCATCATCTCATCACTTTTAACAGTCAGGTCTCATTCATTACCGTACACTGTGAAAAAATATTCTTCATCAAACTGTCTTCCATCTCCCTTACTTTATATCAGTTCCATGTACGTTCATTGGCAAACCCTCACAGGCGAGGATGACTCTTCCACTCTCAGGATGAAACTGTAGATGGCTATACAGACCAATGTGGCAGCTGTAGGGTCTGTTACATTTGGGGCAGGTGGTGGTCATGGGAAGGGGTGGGTGGGGCATTGGTGTGGCAGTGCACTCCTTTGGCTGTTTTCGTCTGGCTTACACTATTTCCTGGTGACAAGTTTTGAGGTGCTTGATACCTTCCTGGATGCTCCTCCTCTACTTTGGTCTTGGGGCCCAGCAATTCCCAGGTGTCTGTGAGAATGCTGCACTTTGCCATCGAGGCCTTGAGAGTATCCCTGAAGTGCTTCCTCTGTCCACCTGGGGTTTGCCTGCCATTTCAAAGTTTGGAGTAGAGCACCTGCCTCGAGAGTCTTGTGTCGGTCGTGCAGATGACATGCCCAGCCCATTGTAGCTGATCAAGGGTGATCAGTGCTTCGATGCTGGGGATGTTAGCCTGATTGATGATGCTGGGGTTGGTGTGTCTTTTTTTCCCAGCAGATTCACAGGATCTTGCGTAGGCAGTGTTGGTGGTACTGCTCCAGTGCCAAATGGACAGTGCTTTTCTCCATCTACTTTTACTAAACCTTTCATAAACCAGTACATCTATCAGATCTCCCCTCATTCTCCTTTGTTCTAAGGAGAACAGCTTCAGTTTCTCCAACCTAAACTTAGAGTTAAATTCCCTTCTTGGAACTATCCACTAAATCTCTTCTGCACCCGCTGAAAGCTTCACATCCTTCTTAAGTGTGGTGACCAGAACTAGGTGCAGTGTAATACTTAGGACCTAACTAATGCTTTATTCAGATTCAGCCTAACTTCCAAGTTTCTTTGTACTCAATATTTCTGTTTCTGAGATTATAGAAACATAGAAAATAGGTGCAGGAGTAGGCCATTTGGCCCTTCGTACCTGCATAACCTTCAATATGACCATGGTTAATCATGCAATTTTAGTGTTCCATTCCTGTCCATACCCCTTGATCCCTTTAGCTGCAAGGGCTGTGTCCAGCTCCCCCTCGAATATATCTAATGAAATGGCCCCAACAACTTCCTGTGAGAGAGATGCAACAGGTTCACGACTCTGAGTGAAGAAATTCTTCCTCATCTCAGTCCTAAATGACTTGGCCCTTATTCTTAGACAGTGACCCCTAGTCTGGACTTCCCCCAACATCAGCAACATTCCTCTCGCATCCAGCCTGTCCAGTCCCATCAGGATTTTGTATGTTTCTATGAGATCCCCCTCATTTTTCTAAATTCCAGTGAGTATAAGCCCAGTCTTTCCTCGTATGTCAGTCCTGCCATTCCAGGTATCAGTCTGCTGAACCGTCACTGGACTCGCTCAGTAGCAAGAATGTCCTTCCTAGGAGACCAAAACCACACATAATACTCAAGGTGTGGCCTCACCAAGGCCCTGTATTACTGCAGCAAAACATCCTTACTTTAATACTCAAATCCTTTTGCTATGAAGGCCAACATGCCATTAGCTTCCCATACTGCCTGCTTCAACTGCATGCCAGCTTTCAGTGACTGTTCTGCTGTGACACCCAGGTCTCGTCACATCTCACCTTTTCCTAAACTGCCACCATTCAGAGAATAGTCTGCCTTCCTGTTTTTGCAACCAAAGTGGTCCACATCATGTTGCATTTGCCAAGTGTTTGCCCACTCAGCCAATCTGTCCAAGTCACCCGATGCCTCTTAGCATCCTCCTCGCAGCAGATGCTGTCACCCAGCTTAGTGGCATCTGCAAATTTGGAGATATGGAATTCAATTCCTTTGTCCAAATCATTAATGTATTTTGTGAACAGGTGGGGTGCTAGCACGAACCCTGTGACATCCCACTTTTCACTGCCTGCCACTCTGAAAGGGACCCATTTATTCTAACTCTCTGCTTACTGTCTGCCAATCAGTACTGTGTTCATGTCAATACATTACCTCCGATACCATGAGCTTTAATTTTCCTTACTAATCTTTTGTGTGGAAAATTGTCAAAAGCCTTTTGAAAGTCCAGATACACAACATCTACTGATTCTTCCTTGTCCACTCTACTGGTCATATCCTCAAAAAATTCCAGATGATTTATCAAGCACGATTTCCTTTTAGTGAATCCATGCTGACTCGGACTGATTCTGTCACCGCTTTCCAAATGTTCAGTTATTACATCCTTAATAATTAATTCCAGCATTTTCCCCATCACTGATGTCAGGCTAACTGGCGTATAATTGCCCATTTTTTTTTTTCTTTTTTTTTTTTTTGTAAAGAATGAGGTGACATTAACTACCCTTCAGTCCACTGGAACTCTTCCAGAGTCTACAGACTGCTGGAAAATGATTACCAATGCGTCTGCTATTTCTAGGGCTACTTCCTTAAGTGCTGTGGGATGCAGAGCATCAGGTCAAGGGGACGTACATGGGTAAAACATGGGTTTTAATCCCATCAATTTCCCCAGTACGATTTATGACTGATAAGGATTTCCTTCAGTTCTTCCTTCATGCTTCATCTTCTGTCCCCTTGCGTTTCCTGAAGGTTATTTGTGTCCTCCTTAGTGAAGATAGATTCAAAATATTTCTTCAACTAATTTGCCATCTCTTTGTTGTAGAAGCGTTTGCAGTCAGTTTTTACATTTTCTGCAAGCTTGCTTTCATATTCTATTTTCCCCTTCTGAATTAAATCCTTTGTCTTTCTCTGCTGAATTTTAAATTTCTTCCAGTCCTTAGGTTTGCTGCTTTTTCTGGCCAACTTATATGCCTCCTCTTTGGCTTTAACACTATCACTGATTTCCCTTATTAGCCATGGTTGACTACCTTCCCTGTTTTACTCTTATGCCAGATAGGGACGTACAATTGTTGAAGTGCATCTATGTGTTCTTTAAATGTCTGCCATTGCGTATCCACCATAAACCCCCTTCAATATACTTGGCCAGCTTATTCTAGCCAATGCATGCCTCAATAACGTTAGATAAGATTCAATAACCCCATTATGCCCTTTAGTCCTAGACCCTTCCACAAGAGGGAAAAGAGCTCTCTGCATCTATGCTGACAAGTTTCCTACGAATCTTCTGTGTTTCAATGAGGTTGACTCTTATTCTTTGAAATTCCATTACGTACAGACCCAACCTAGTAACCCTCTTCCCCATAACAGTCCCTCTGTACAGCCTAATGAATCTTCTCTGGACTGCCTCCAACACTGTTCACAGTATTTCAGCTGTGGTCTGACTAGTGCCCTGTATAATTTTTAGCAAAACATCTGTATTTTCCTTCCCTTTGAAATAAAGGAAGTTATTCCATTTGCTTTCTCTACTACCCGCTGAACTTGGATGCTAGTTTCTTTTGGGATTTATGCATGAGTACTCCCAAATCCCTCTTTCTGTAGGTTTTTGCAGTTTTTCTTTTCAATTTTAAACAATATTCAGCTCCTATTCTTCCTGCCAAAATGATTAACCTCACATTTCCCAAACTCCACCTGCCAAGTTTTTGCCCACTGCATAAGAATGTACAAGGCATGATTAGTAAATTTGCAGATGACATTAAAGCAGGCTGATCGTGGACAGTGAGAAAGGTTACTAGAAATTGCAGCAGAATCTTGATCAGCTGGGGAAGTGTGCCAAGAAATGGCAAATAGAATTTAATATAAATAAGTGTGAGGTGTTGCATTTTGGAAAGTCAAATCAAGGTAGGAATTTCATGGTTAATGGTAGGACCTTAAGTAGTGTAGTGGAAGAGAGGGACCTTAGAGTTCAGGTGCACGGTTCTCTGAAAGTGGAGTCACAGGGAGGCAGGGCAGTGAAGAAGGCTTTTAGCACACTGGCCTTTATCAGTCAGGGCATTGAGTATAGAAGTTGGGAAGTTATGTTGCAATTGTACAGGACGTTGGTGAAGCTGCACTTGGAGTATTGTGTTTAGCTTTGGTCACCTTGCTTATGAGAAGGATGTTATTGAACTGGAAAGAGCTCAGAAGAAATTTACAAGGATGTTGCCAGGACTCGAGGAACTGAGTTATAGGGAGAGGTTGGACAATCTAGGACTTTTTCCTCAGAGCAACAGGAGACTGAGGGGGCACCTGATAGAAGTGTATAAGATCATGAGAGGCATGGATAGGGTGAATGCACTGAGTCTTTTTCCCGGGGTTGGGGAATCAAGGTCTAGAGACCATCAGTTTAAGGTAAGAGGGAAAAGAATGCATGGGAACCTGAGGGGCAACTTTTTTTTTTACACAGGGTGGTACGCATATGGAATGAGCTGCTAGTGGAAGTGGTTGAGGCAGGTACCTTAACAACATTTAAAAGGGATTTGGACGAATACAAAGATATGAAGGGTTTAGAAGGATATGGGCCAAGTGCAGGGAAACGGGGTTAGCATGGGTGGCTATATTGGTTGGCATGGAGCAGTTCGGGGATGAAGGCCTGTCTCAGTGCTGTAGGACTCTATGACTCTCCCTTAACCTTTCTGTATCTCTCTGCAGGCTCTTTGTGTCATCCTAACCACTGCCTATTTTTGTGTCCTCTGCAAACTTGGCTACAGTACATACACTTTCCTCATCAAGTCAATATGCATTATAAATAATGTTGCCCCAGCACTGATCCTTGTGGCATTC